AGACTAAACATCGCTTGATCAAAATAAAAGTATCAACAAATATCAAGTATGTGTCTATATATGTCCATCAAAAAATAATAATACATTTAGGTTAAGTTTTAAGAACAAATTACTCTTTAAGAACGGTTAGGGTTCGATACACAATGTCCTTAAGGAAGCACACGTATCATGAACCTGCTCTTTTCTTTGAATTCAAAAGGGTGATGAATAGAGTATTTTGTGTAGATGACCATTTGGTTGAGAGATATAAGCTCTTTTAGACCAAAAGTCTGTGTTCATAACATCACCCCTCACAAACACATCTTGTTTGATTCACTGCCTTCTCCAAGGACTGTTGTCTGGACTCACTGAACTGCTCCTTACAGCTTCTTTAGGCTCACCTGTGCCAGGTTTGATAACCAAAAGCTCAGGCTCAGCTTTTATCAAGGCCAAACTTTGTTGGCTGGAAACAAACTACCAATCTTAGATAAGTCTGAGACGCTTGTCTGTCTTCGCCAAGTGTCTATTTTCACTGCACTGAACAAGTAGCACGGCAAAATAAATCTGTGTTACTGCAGCTACGTGATGCACAAACTAACAGATTGCAGTGATTGCATTTTAATGGTTGATGTGATCAGAAAACAAATTGCATCATGATGCAGACTAGTTGCAGTAAAAGTTTATGCGTTGGGAGATCTGTACCTAATAGGAGAAATACAAATGAGTATTGAAAATGTTTGGGTTATGATTTTCTATGTCTAGTGTAATATTAGGACGTAACAATTGTAATACTCACAGGTGTTGTTAAACAGGATGCCTTTTATTTCTTGCTTGCAAACTTTAAGTCATGCCTATTCATAATGACAATATTTATAACTCTGACATCTAGCATTTAAAATTAGTGCTGCAGTCCAAATTCAAATCATTGAAGAGAGCAATCTCCCCCCGCTCCCTCCTCCCTAGAGTCTATGTGCATACGGGTGTCATGTCGCAGATACTGAAGCTTTAGTGTTTAGCCAGCTCTGCATCCGTCTTGAAACCTTTATTTTCTAACCTCTCTTAACCTTTCAAAAGCAGCTCCGATATTTATCCTAGTTTTACCATGTTTCTGGTCGTGTAGCTTATTAGTAATAAGCTGAGACTTTTTCAGTCGGGAATCAGTTGTATTTGAACCAGTTTACTTCCAACGCTGCAACAACTGTTGGTTTGCTGTTAGCATGGCAAAACAGACCAATCCGGACTGGCACCGAAACTTAGAAGGAGGACATGCTGGCTGCTGCGTTGTTGACAGAAAATCAGCACCACAACATAGCATGTTTCCTTAATGTCTGAAGCTTTAGTAATTTAATTGACTAGATATCTAACATATTGCTCCTTTAATTTGCGTTTACAGGATTAAACTTGTCTTTCTGTGTAATTGACTTATGCCAGAAAATATGCAAAGCTTTTGGTCTTCACACATTTAGGCACAAATAAAGGCACAATGGTTCAAATTAAATTAGCATGCTACAGGTGGTAACATTATAGTGAGCAGAGATTTTTCCTTGGGGGTTAATGTCAAAGCATTTCTGCATTCTCAAAGGCTGACAAATCAAATACATCAATTTAAACCACCATAGCAGCTGTTCATATTTTTAATTTCAATTTTAATTTAATTTTTGTGACCTTTGAATAAGAAAATATCCTCGAACTATCATTCATTATTTAAAGAACACCAACTCAAAACAACCCTAATATTTATGGTCTTTGCAACTGAGACAAAACTGGAAGAATTGATAATCAGTTATTGAGGGCACCAGTGCAGCGCCGGTCTTTTTCAATTGATCACAAAGCCTTCTCTGTAAAACAACCTTATGCAAGTTATTTTTTACAAGGTTAATTAAAAGATGGACTTTTCAGGATACAACCGAGTAATGCAATTAACTAGACTTGCATGCATCTCTTCGAGCCTCCCTCCGTCATTACCTGTCCACAGCGATCGCCAGCAAGCTACACATCGACGCAACCACTGAGATACAGATCATGGAGTCAAACACATTATCCATCTGGCGGATGAAGTGGTCCTCCACCACCAGCTGCCTGTTGTTGAGGAGGTAAATGATGATCGTCTCCCAGGCGTTGGACACACTCACCAGCATGTCTGCCACTGCCAGGCTGCAACAAACAAACAAGCCCGGTTAAAGGAAGACTGTGTCACCTTTGATACATAAATATAGCAGAAATCAAGTACATCCTATGTAAATGTCTTCCTGAGTCATGACTGTCTACAATGAGTTAGTAGCACAATTCCTGTTGGCAATGTTATTGATGGAGCTGTGTTTCCATCAGGTTTGACAAATAAAAAGCTCCTCTTCTGGCTTATAAAACTGTTTTAGTCAAGGACTAGAGAAAATAAAAATAACATACCCTACTCACTTCTTATTTGAAAGCGTTTTTAGATCACCATCATTCTGTGTCAATTTATATGCAATGTGAAGCAATGCAGGGCACAGGGCGACATCCACTGGAGCAAAAAGTCGCACATTCTTCCTTTAAGAGTATATTTTCTACGACCCCCTGGCATACATTGTATCACAGAAGAGCTACAAATCCATTAATCTCTTTAAAGTGAAGCCTTAGCATTATAACATGACTAATATTATGACAGCATACAGACTCTTAATTGTAAGCTTGTTAATGCTCGTTCTCAGTTCAGTTCGTGCTCCTTCTCGTCGCACAAATAGACACACACCCACACACACGTACACTCACACTCTTCCTGCTCTATGCTTTGCAATACACACACACCTCTCCTGTCTCCCACCTGAATTTGTACGACGAAAGCTGGGGGAAAATTTTTGCTCGTCAATGTCTCTTCTTCATCTTGGAAAATAGGTAGTTGATGACAATTTATTGCCATATTTTTAATTCATGAAATTGACTCTGGTGTGAAATGGTTGCATTATGTTAAATCTAGTGGACACCCCATTTAAGATTCTGAATATTGAAAATAGCTAACATCTAATTTTGGGATAAAGAATTTACATTTAAAAAATGTTGCTCTGTTATCTAATAATTTGTGCATCATTCGTTGGGTCAGACTGATTCATTTTTTTAAAGTGGGAAAAAATATTTTTCCCTTGAAGTAGATGTATTTTCAAATAAAAGACAGCGATGCTCTCATCCTGCAGTAATCTAGTCGGTCTGTTCATCACTCTGTGTAGAGACTCAGTAGACGTCTCAAAGAAATCATTCAGAACAACATCAAAGCATTCACTGTGACCTGAATGTCTGCTCTGTCTCTGAACATGCCCAGGGTATCAACTTAGACTCTGTTATCTTGTCCTTTAATGTCACATTGCTCGGATGTAAATAGTGAGTCATGAGTGATTAGTGTAAATATCAAAGTTGAGTTGAAGCATCATTCTATTTTTTTTCTTTTCAGTCACTTAATGAGTGCGATGACAACCGTGCTTCTGACACTCAGTTCATCCCACATCATGAGGGAACATGTGTGCCTGTGCGCATTCAGGTAAACAAATCAATCAGTGTTTGTTCTATTAACTACAATAATAAATTCAATAACATGTGCCTGGAACATAGCTGTATTCCTTCAACACTCTTTCTTGTACTTATTGCTTTGTCTTAGTTATATTCCCAATCTCTGTCTGAGGTTACATGAAGTATTCCTGATTCTGATCTGAACAATAAGCAGGCTCCAAAATGATTCAGTACAAAATGTCACAAACTGTTCTGGTCTTAAAGAGTAGATTGAGGTTGAGATACTGTAGATTGAGATCATATTCAGGAGTAAGAGCCGACCGCTACACTGGCTTTTTTTTTGAGACTGTACATTTGCACAGCAGCACTTTGGTTTGAATGCTAATGTCAACAAGGCAAACATGCTTATGTGTCCACATAAAGGTCATATTGCAAGTCGGATCACCTGCAGATGAAGAAGTACATGGGTGAATGCAAGTTCTTGTTCTTTATGATAGCAGTGATGACCAGGATGTTCTCCAGCAGGGAGATGATACCGAGGATGAGAAATACCTGAGGAAAGTAGAATTCAGAGTAACAGAAAAAAATATTAGAACATGTGACTTTATTTTATTCATTATGTTTGTATTTACAGTAGAAACAAAGCATGTTAATGAACATCACTTCAAAAAGATATTAAAAAAGCATTAGTCCCCAGTTTTATATTGAATTTTATTGAAAGGGCTGCAATAATGATCCTTAAACTTTTAATTATATTAATAATTATTACAGTAACCTTTAGTTCATATAATGGTCATTGAAGAAATAATAAATAAAGCTCATCACAATTTCAGAGCCCCAAGTCATGGCTTTAAAGAATCAATATGTGGATCCATTTAAAATGGGTACTGCAATCCAAATTCAAAACACTGGAGAGAGCTGTCTCCCCCCACCCCTCCTCCCTAGAGTCGATACAGACACAGGTTGCCATGCCCCAGACACGGAAGCGTCAGTGTTTAGCCAGCTCTGCATCAGTCTTGAAGCCTTTGTTTTCTAACTTGTCTCTATTTTTCTAAAGTATCTCCAATAGAGAATCCTAGTTTTACCATGATTCTGGCCGAGGAGCTTATTATAAAAATGTCAAGGCACTTTAGCTTGGGTAGAATCAGTTACATCTGAACCAGTTTGCTTGTCCACTTCCATCGCTTCCTAACACCTGTTGGTTTTACCCTTTGCCTGGTAAACCGAGGGGGGAGGGGGAAAATGGCCGAGTGGGGGTGCCTTAAAACTTACTTCTCTGGTCAAAACAAAAACAAACATTCAGGACCGGAATCAAAACTTTTGGAGGAAGACATATTGGCTGCTGCATTGTATACAGAGAAGCCAGCACTTCAACATAGCATGATTCCTTAATCTCTTATGATATAGTGTATAATGTTTCCATTTGACCAACCAACAGTCCAAAAAAAGATATGTTTCCTAGGATTAATTAGATAGAAAATTCAGCAATTCCTAATATATTGAGGAAAACAGAAACCTGTAAATGTTTGACTTTTGCTCAGAAAAAGTATTATGGGATATGAATGACAATCACATTTTGAATGTGAAAAGCTTTTTCAATATTTACCTTCCTTTACTAACAGCACTATTTATCCAAATGTCATGGGTCAGAGCCCTAGTACCAATTCCACTACTTGCCCTTTAAAACATATACTGATAATGAACAGAGAATAAATCCTGAGGGTCATGCAAACATTCATACTAACTGAGGGAGAAATGTGTAGGCAGTTTTTACCAAGCCTTTCTCTTCACTGGGTGTCAGATACCAGCGATTAGTCACGGCCCTCTGATTCTCATACAGAGGCGCACTGCACCATCTGCATCAGAGTTTTAACTAAATAATGTAAATCAATCTGCAGCAATAACAGACGCTCAGAGTAGAATAATAAGTCAATGCACTCTGGAAGTTGCATATTATACCTATATAAGGTAAAAGTCCTTTTAGAAAACTGCAGTCATAGTAAACTGGCAAAACTTTGCAGTTTATTGAATGCAGTCAGACAAAATAAAGTGCTATAGAGCAAAAATAGTACAAAAATAGTACTTATATATAAATCTAAATATATATGAATTTGTTCAAATTAATTTAACATAAACAAAGAAAGCATTTTGGTGTTCAGTCGCACACATACCTCCACGGCGATGTGGACCTGCTCGCATGCTGCGGGTTTGGTCGTGCTGGTCTTGTCTGGTATCAGCGGAGGGGACAGGGTGTAGTTTATGTTATAGTAGGAGTAAGCCCAGGTGGAGTTATCCAGCATCACCTCCCCTTGGTAGGAAGACAGATCAGATGCATTCATGCCTGCTGTGGCTCTGGCTGTGCTGTGGCTCAGATCACTGATCCTCTAATAAGGTTACCATTTTTTCAGACGGGCTGCAAAGGAAAACAGCTGTGAGACATAATGATTTTTACAAAAATATTTCTGACTCTCTACCTCAGAAATCATGTTACTCTATCGCTCTTTTTCTACTTTGAATAAAAGACGATGTGACCAGTTTTCCCTCCACACAGACATTATTCGATAAACATGGGGTGAAAGCATGGACTGAATAACACATAGACCTTCTGAAAAGACATTTTGTAATTATGCAGATGTATGCATACACTTGAGCCTTCATGTAATCCAAACAGACCAGGAATTTAAAACAAAATCACCCTTTACCCATAATAAAGAGATATGTCATTACAGGTTCATTTTTTCTGTAAAAAAGGCATTTTCCTTCACAATTCTCATCATTGGAGGTTGCCACTTTTGTGAAAGGTAACATGTCACTTTTACTGAGGGGGCCAGGCTGGGGCCAGTTGTTTTGTCAGAGGGACACATTCTACCGAGGACAAAAAGAGACAAAGATGTTCATTCTTTAATAATGTTTAATGGCATCTTAACAAAAGATAGCGGACAACATAAAATACCATGATTGGTATTTGTTTCAGTGTTTCCGTCACAGTATTTGGTTCAGTAACAGTATTTAATACTGCATTACATTCCTAATTTTCAAAGGGAAACATTCAACTTTTTTTTACAACTAGTTACAGTTACTTTGCAGATTAAGATTCACATACAAAATATACAGTACAAAAAAACATGTTAAGAGTTTACAAATTACAATATTGAAAATATTAAAACACATCCCTGTTAGCCTTAGCTCAAGTTACAGCATATTCTTTGCTGCAACGTATCTTTGTAGTGATCAATGAACAGTACAAGCTCTACTTTACTAGAGTGTCTCTAGAATTTCACATTACAGTAACTGTATTCTGCGTTTTTTGTGATTTTTGGCAAACCGATCAACGAATAAATCAAGATTCAAAGCCTTTGCCCTTGTAGACTCAATACTTCATACACCCAGATTGCTAAATCTCTCATCCGTTATGGTGGACCTGAGGTAAGTTTTCACCCGTTTCAGCGTAGAAAAACTATGCTCACAAGAAGCAGTACTCACTGGGATGGCGACTGCAATTTTGCAGAGTCTGAAAAGCTCAAAAAACACTTCTTTTTATAAGGCTCCATGAACAGCACCTGCTCTACTGTACTAGAGGGTCTCTGCATTCCAGACTGTATTTTCCTTTCTAGAATTCGTCTGAATTAATGTAGTTCATGCCCCAAGTCATCAATGTTTGAATCATACAATCGAGCAAATGCAAATAGAGCTGCATCTTGCAGGAATGCATCACTTTTGGTGGTTTAGAGCTTGGATGCTATTCATTAATTCACCGTTAGTCTTTGAAAACCATTTGTCAAGCTCATTAAGCATGTTATCAATGACGGGGTAGAAAAAGGCTGTACGAAACGTGTCTTTATCTGGTTCTGATGCTCTCTGACCAACAGTACTCAGTTCACAGCGTTCATTGTGATTGGAGCTTAGCCTTTTTTGTTGTTTTGCAGCTGGCTGTGTCGGCTGCTGACTGTGGCTGTGTGTCGGTCTGCTGCAGTATCACATCGCTCAGAAATGTTCAACACATCATCCCACAAGTTATTAAAAAATGACTCCTGCCTAAAGTCATTCAATACCTGAACCAAAGCTTCAACTAAATCAACAGCTTTTGAAATGTCAAGTGATAAACACTGTAGTGTATCAGAGTGAAGTTTTGTTTCTCCAAACACTTTACGAAGTGTAACAAGATGCACAATGAATTCAAGATCTATTTGTGCCAGCAGACCTCGAGCCTCAACAGATCTTTCACCTTTGTGTTCTTGGGCTATTGCTTGCAGTACTCGCTAAAGGGCAGGCAATCTATCCATCATCTTACGTAGAGCAACAAATCGACATGCCCATCGAGTGCCACTCAATCGTGGTAGTTCTCTTGGTGCACCTTCGTACATCTCTTTTTGTATAGTAAGCCATTTAGGATGGACATATGAGCCAGATGTGAACACATATAGTTTTTCTAGTAAGGAGAAAAACTCCTCTGCCGCTGGGACAGCTTTGACTGTATCCACTAAAACTAAGTTTAGACAGTGGGCATTGCAATGGATGTAAAAGGCATATTTTGCTTGCTCTTTGATTCTAGCCTGGACCCCGGTATGCTTACCACTCATGACTGCAGCACCGCCATATGCTTGGCCTACAAGCTTGTTTTTGTATTCTAGACCATGAACTTCCAAAATGTGTATTATTTTTTCAGTAAGCCCTGCTGCATCTCGCTTCTCTGCAAATTCAAAATGAAGAAATCTGTTCTTTTTTCTTTCGTTTCATCTGCCATGACGCTGAAGACTTCACTTTGTTTCGCTTCTTCTCTTAATTTCAGTTCAAACCATTTCTGCCAAACAATCCAGAACCTCATCCTGAATGATTTTGCTTGTGTACTTTGCATTATGAATGGAAGTCAGTACAGTTTTGTCATGGTTAGCAATTGTCTCTAGAATTTCCCTGAAGTTTCCTTTATTATTTGAGACGGCAGACTCATCATGTCCTCTTTGAGCAATGTTTTGTGTGGCAGTAAGTAGTAGCACTTCCCCTATGGTTTTTATGTATTCCCGATTTTCTGCAACCAGTCTGTTATGTTCCTTGTTTAGGACATTTGGCAGTGTTGAATTATTTGCTACAGCTCTCTGATAGTCTCTCCATGTAATCATTGAATATGTATACCTCTCAGACTTGGCATGGATTGCAAATCCAGTTTTTGAATCCGGATGGTGAGTCAAAAACTGAGTCTGAGCTATTAGGGGGGCTAAAATGTCTACAGGCGTAACAATATGCCAAGTCTGACTGTTTGGAGTACTCAAGCCAGGGGTACATGTTGTACCAGGTGGCCTTGAAGCTCCTTCTCCTGTCCCCCATCAAGGTCTGTGGAAACAATGTCATGTTTGGCTGCATCGGTGGGTCTTCTTTACCCCTGCTGATATCTGTGGAGAAAGTCAAACCAAAACATATGGCATATAATTCACTAGCAATCAAGAAACACCAATTACATCTATAATTATGAATCAATGACATGAAGGAGAATTGTATTTGATTTATTCTCAATGATAAGACAACACACTTCTACATGGACACACAATCTAAACTTCAATTCAACACCTGATGGTCCAGTGCTTGTGGATGCACCTGTATCCTCTTGTGTCTCAAACTCTCGTTGAATTTCACCCAAAGCCTCACTCTCTGGACCTTCATCTGCGTCATCTTCCGTCTCTGTGTCCTCACTGTCATCTATCAAGTCCCCTGGCTTTCCCTCTTTTACGCTCTCCACTCCCTGTTTCTCTTCGGCGCTCTCAACACCTGGATCGTCTGTGTCTTCCTCATCATTGTCTCTACTTTTGGGGGCGAAATATGACATACCGTCCTTGTTTCTCTTCATCTTGATAACCTCTATAGACAAAAAACAATGGGGAGGAATGCACAACACTTGAGTAACCCAGAATAGTGAACTAACGTTACTGTTACAGACTTGGATCTACGTTGTGGTAACGTTAGCCTTTGCGCTAGGAATTATGTACGTTATAGCATGCCGTCAGGCTAACCATTTGTGAAGACAGCCCATTTCTTTAAAACATTAGATATCGCAAAACTTAACATTACGTTACTAGCAACAAGTATTAATGCAAGTAAACTTTTAACTGTTCGGGCTGGTGTGGCTGCTAATGCTATTAAATTAGCTAACTAGTCAACAACAACATTTCCTGACCAGTCTTACCTTGTAACAATTAGGCTACACAAATAAAAATGTATTTCTCACCTTAAATCTTTCGTGTCAACGTTATTGGTCTCGTAGCATTAGAATCTTGGTTGCTTGCCTCCAATAAGATCTGGCAGTGGAGGGTAACGTCGTTAGCGGACGCAGCGTCAATGTACCGCTCTAAAGGGTCCGACGAGAATCTTGAGCCCACAGAATTAGAATGACTAGTTCGTTGTTAATTTGACGGGGATTGGCCGTTCTTTTAATTTAAGCTCTGTGGTTGAGCCACAGTTGTTCAGCCTTTTGCTTTTGCATCAGCGCAATATCATTGAAATAAATACATTTTTTTATTAACATGCTCTTCGTTTGGAGGGGGGGGGGCACGGGGGGGTCCAAGCTCAGTGTTACAGGAGCACTGGTCCCTGTTGGCCCCTCCCCAAAACCGCCAGTGCTTCAAGAGCAAAGAATACCATAGAAGCTTATTGGCAAACATGTTTGACTTGACTTTCTAGAAAGTGCAGGGATCTCAGAAATCCACCAAATGTCCCAGAGGTGAGGCAGGTGTGGGAGGAATTATTAGTGAGCATTTCCTTTCCTATTCTTTTGGCATCAATGGAATGCCTGCACAAAGCCAAAGCCTGCTTAATGATGGCAGAAGCTAGATAAAACTAAAGCTTTCCAGCTCCCAGTCCTCTTCTAACAACAACAACTCCATTTGACTGCATCAGCAAAGTCCTCTGTGTATACACGTTTCTATCTGAATCATGAAATTAAGCCAAATAATGAAAAAAACATGTTTTGTTACTGCATCCATATTTATTGAACAAGATTCCTTTTAAGGGCCTTTTGGCTTTCTTTGACAGTGACGGAACGAAGATGACAGGAAAAGTGGGTGAGAGAGGGGGGAGGGCGCGCAGTATCCTGCCCGGCTTGAAATAATACCTGGTTTTATGTAATAACGAGTCTGACTAAATGATACATGGTCTACAAGCAATGAAGGCAACCCTGTAACTGTAATGTTCAACTTCAAACATTTAAACAAGGTGTTTGATCCATGTGTAGCCTCTGCTGTGCTTCTCTGATGTATTAAGACTCTTTGGTGGTACAAAAAGCAACAGAGCAACATTTAACGTACAAGACTTTTAGCCTTACCATTACCAATCACAACTGAAGTGTACATCATAATCTTTTATTTTTTGCACTAACAAATATGAGTTTAAAAAAGGACTTTGACTTCTCGTCCTGTATTCACAACAGTAAGTAACGTAAGCTGCTAAATTGTCCCTTTTTCAGACACTGGATCCAGAGCATGTTTGCTCACCACACCAAACCCACCACACTCTTGAATACTACAAAACAAGTCAAATAAATGTTTTCTTTGTTTCTCGTCCCATTTTTTACTCCTAACTCAAGTTTTATTTGTGTGTTGCTTTGGATTAAGTCAAAAGACATTTTTCACAATTGGTTTGTTGTTCAAGTGAGAGATTTCATTGGAAAAAAATGATGGAAAGATCATAAATTCCAGTGAAATTATAACGTAAATGCGTCAATGACATTTAAAAAACAAAAAAGGCAATAAAGTTGGTTTTGCTTTGGTTATGAAAGAAAGTAAAAGAGGGGTCCTGACATGAAGCTGGAACAGACGGTGAATGGGACGCAGTGTTAGGCTCCTCGCCTCAGCTGATGGTATTCAATCGTAGCTTGAACTTTTGCTGCAGGCCTTCATTTCCAAGTCATCTCATGACCTGACATGACACCCTGAGGCATTGTCAAATGAGATGACCATACACAAGTTTCTTGTGCATTTGCACCAAGGTATTATAAACCCCTTTACTATATCTTACAAAGTTCCCTGGATCATGTGGTAAATGATGGCTTTCAAGGATGAGGCTGCTTCAAAAGGCTGTTAAGAAAACATCTAGACTGAAGCAAACACCTAGATGACCTTAATAAACCATTCAAGCAAGCTTAAGCCATAAACTTTAGTCTCCACTTTCCCCACTAAAGGATTATCCAAATACACTGCAACACTGTGAGCAGGTACCATAATGAACCTTCACTGTGGCTAAATGAGAAAACCATGTTTGAGTGCTTAACACAATTGGCTGCTTTGATGTCAGCACTTTGGAAAAAAACAATGCAATTGCAGGACATATTAATGAAGATATCAACATATTTGAATGTTTTAATTAACACAGCAGCTATCTTAAGCTTTTCAAAGACAACAAGCAATTACTGGGAGTGAGAAAGCATAATTAATTCTGTCTTTTCGTTGCTTTTAAACCCTTGTGCTAATGTGCCAGTGGCTGGAGCAATTCAATTCTATTTATTTACTTTCAACAGTGAGTCTCTTTATAGCTTGCTAACAGGTTATTTTCCTTACATCAGTTTATTATCTTTTAATATCACTATCACAAGACATTCCTTCCAATTATGAAGATCATAATATCTTTCTAACCTGATTCAGAGACTGAACAAATATCTGTATTTAATATCCCACATGTTGACGTTTCCCTTACAGTTCATGCATGACAGCAGGAGAGAAAGTTATTGCCCTTTTGTCAAACCTACACGCACTGACAGAATTCTTATGCAAGATATCATGCAGTAAGGACAGAACTAGCAATCATCTAAATCTTTCTGTGAAATATGGAAACCTATAACATAAAATGTTTTCAATCTGACAATAAGCTGATGTTTACATTGGGAAAGCAATGTCCTTCTTTGCTTTCATTTCACACACAAAGGGCATAAACTCCCATGATTCTCTTGTCAGGTGGCAAAGTGTTACCTATGTTGCTCTGTTAGTGTTTTGTCTTTTGACTTCAAATAAAAAATTTGAAACGTTCCGTTACAATATGTAACGATACTATACTATAGGATTTGGCTTTGCTGGCATGAGGTTTTTATGAACAATTTTGTCAAAAGAGAAAGTTCAGGATCTTATTTTGGACACAATCTTAAAGCAGTACTCAAAACTATCAAAACAATAAAAATAAACTTGCTTCCTTTCCACTGTGGCTGATTTAGGTTGTTTTCTGCAAATGTAATTCCAAAGAGTCAATGGTGTAAATTAAATATGCACTAAGATGAATTCTGTTGTAATGAGATGCTTTGTTATAAAAAAAATAAAAATAAAATACTAAACTTTTTCAGTTCTTCCTAATAAAATTCCGATTTTGCAATCCCATCACGTCTAATAGGGCTTTCACACTTGCAGAAAACTCCTGATTTCCAGGAGGAGCTCTATGTGTGAACGCAAACAGAAGAATTCTTTGCTCGGATTTCACCGAATTTTCTCCCTAGTAGTCAGAGTGTGCTTATGTGAGAACGCCATAGGATATTCACTGGATAATTCACCTCGAGCCAATGGGAGTGGGAGTGACCTTTCTATACTGTTACTGCTGCATGGTGCATAGACTGTATGCATGCGACCACTACAATCTCCGTACACGTAATTAAACGGCTGCATTCTGTTTTCTGTTCATCAGTATGTTGTTCTCCTCTCTTTTGTGGATGTTGTCATTCCATTGGATTACACATTGCATTGATATAAAGGCAAATATTCTCATTATAGCATCGTATAGCGGACTCTGTTGCTTCTTAAGCTACTTTCGCGTCGTTTTTTTCAAGTCATGTCTTACCTCATGAGACCCCCTTCTCCCTCTGACAGGGATAGTCTCCCCCTGAGAGGAGCATATGTGAACAGCCAGGGCGGGAGAATCATCGGAGCAGCCCTCCCAAATTGTCTAGATATTTCTCGGGGTGCATATGTGAAAACATCAGCAGTTCAGGGAGAGTAATCTCAGATTCTCAGACTGGCTCTATGTGTAAAAAGCTGTTATAAACTTGTTTGATGACAGGATTAATGAATAATTGATGACGGACAGAGATAAAAAAGAGATGGAGAACAGGAGTGATTTATGCATCTGTGCCGATGCAGGAGCCCTTCATCTTATCATTCATACACACTTAGATGATAAAGCAAATGTAATGTATTGACAGGAGCAGTACAGTTTATATGAGTGATGACATTATAAAAACACACTTTTTGAAGTACAACTATTGCATTTTTTAGGGATGTTAACAAAAAATAAGATTGAGAGTTGTGTTTGAATGAATAATTTTAAAATAAACGACCACTTTTATATACAGACTAAACAAAGACAGCTAGCGGTATGTCTAAGCATTCATTTATTCCTAACTTATCTTCCATACTATTTCATTTCGAGATCTGAGTTTGGCAAGAAAAATCACTGACAAACAGTCGAAGGATTCTCAGAATGCAGCAAACAAAAGGATTCTACATTTGAATGGAAACAATAAACTCATTTTTATTAGCTGCAGATTCAGCAGCAATAAACCAGAGTGGCTCTTTAATAAGACAGATGAAGCCTGGGGAGCTTTTGTGTCCTTGACAAACAAAACAACATTACAACGCTACTTCTATATGGAAATTCTGTGCTGAATGTTGCCACCTGCACTCTCTACCATGGTGTGTTTGCCGCAGATGATTTGACTTGTGTTGCTGATGTCAGAGATGGAGGTCATGTGCAGCACGTGATGTGTGGCAACTGGGATGTGAAGATGTATAAATTATGACTCAGTTATGTGTGATCAGTGCTTAATTACGTACCTAACCATCCTGCAGTCGTCAACCCAATCATTCACAACTCTCAGTCTTTTAAGATGTATTTTCTGTATCTGTGTGACTGATAGCATATTGACGTTACCACATCACCTGCTATAATCACTCTTGCAGTGTGAAATCAGCCGGTGGGATCTTTTGCTCTCTCTCTTCTGTCCTCGTGTCTCTGTTTTGTCCTCAGACCCTCTCCATCTCTTCTCGGTGAGATTCGTGCGGCAGTCCCAGGGGTTGATAACTGATGGGGTTCTGCAGCCACAGTCATTAAACTGACAACAGCAAGACCCACATACCTTGTTCACAACATCAAGAGACACATCAGACAACTAATAATCCTCTGACTAAAAGAAACCTCCATTGATCCAGTGTTTCAAGCGGACACGGTTTATTTTTCCAACGGGTGAAATGTTAGAGCAAATCATGCTTAATTAGGAGTCTATAAAACACTCTCTCAGTCCAGTCAAACGCAGACTTCACTTTACTGGATAAATGGAAGGCTCCATTGCAGGTTAATAAAATACATGGTAAGTTATACAGCTACCTCTAAGCATATTTAAGGGTTTGATGTTAATCTACATGAAATATGGGATATTAAATCAAAAGCAGCAGAGAACAGTCTTTGCTGGAGATGGAGTTTTTGTACTCTTGGACATGTTTTCCATTATTCATGCAGCGAGCAGGAGCACATCATTTATGCACAGTGCAACAAATGTAATCAAACCTAATCACATTGAAATGATAATCACACCAAAACAACAACCTGTGGGACTTTTTGCATAAAGACTCCAATATTCTACATGATACACAATGACCATGAATAACTCCTTCAGGAGCCATTAGTGTGATCTGCAACTTTCAGTTTTTTTCTGTTGGTGCTTCATTTGCCCTTTTAAGATGCTCAGCAGTCATCATGTTTTTGTTCTTTATGATTCGCAACAGCGTAATATTGGTGTCCCAGTCTGTGAATCACATTGCATTTCAGCGTTGCAGAAGCACTATGCACGACTAGCAATATGAAAGAATTTCATCTCAGGCAGTACCATTCTTTACTAAGTCTGTTTCCAAGT